ACTTAGCGACTTTTAAAATTATAAAAAAAGATAAGTCATCTAGATTACCAGAAAGCTAAAGAATGTAATAACAGTTTTATTTCAGAAGGGTTTTAAATAATTTTGTAAATAATACATCAAGAAAGTTTTGGACTTTCTTTTCTTAGTTTGCGTACATACTTTAACTGAGATAAACAGCTCATTTATTTAATTTTTTAAATTTTGTCATCTCGGTGACCTTTTTTTTATGGCTCTATAAATTCTCTACTTTTTTTTATTTCCTTTTCCCATTTTATTTTGTTGTAGTCAAAGCAAGTATTTTATTTTTATATTCGCTTTCTCTTTAACTTCAGAACGCAATATTATGTTTGAGCAATGTCCATTTGAATTGTAGTTTTTAGGACTTATTTGAAATGCCTATTAATATATATATATTTTTTTTAATAATCTATAAATGCATTTTTTTTTAAATCAGATTCTTTAAAGCGTCCAAAATATTTTTTATTTTAAAAAAAAGATTATTCAATATTGAAATATAAATTTTTTGTCTTAAAAATTATTTTGATTATATCATTTAAAGTCTCGGTTGTCACGTAATTGTAATGTTATCACTCCATTCGAAACGGTAGAATCCGTGAAATGTTCTGATTATTAACGTACCATTATTATCTTTAATTCAGTTTAATTAATAGTGTAATATTTTGTACGCTGTTTTTTATTTATTTACAATTAATGTTTGTTTTTTTAAGTCAGATTCTTTAAAGGGCATGCCATTGGGACAATTACCACAGACCTCTGCATCGTCGCTGAGACCAGAGAAAATTAGGTGGAGTTCAGTACAACTTGCCTACAATTGCAAGTGGATAATTGACTTGCAACAGTAAGTACAGTAATTTGTTGCAGAATTTAATGCGGATTGGTGAGAATTGTGAATTATTTTAGTTTCTAATAGATATGCGTATTTTGCTCTTGGTCATTGTAGAGTGAGTGTAAATGCCTATTTTGAAGCATTTACGCACGCTGTAATGTTTGTAGCTGTCAGAATGATAAATGTTTGATCAACAGCTTAAGCCAAATAAAAATTTGTTGTGTTAAATGCAGTTCATTATAAAAGAGTTTCACTGAGCAGTGAATGTCTTAGAGTAGCATAACAATATAAAAAGAGTGCTGGATAGTGAGATAAAAGTACAAAAAGACAGATGCCCTGTGGAAAACAAAGAGCCTCTAAGAAGAGAATATCTGAACGGAAATCATAGCTATAGGAGACATATAGTAATGCATGCTTACAAATATTTTATTCTATGCTTTAATGTTTCCTAATTTAATGCTTTAATTTTCCTAAATCTACTAACAATAAAATGCAAATAATACTTTTTTAACTAAAAATTGTAATTTTTTTTTTTCATTTCTTTTTTTAGTTATTTGAAGGCTTTACTTGACTTTTTTTTTCTGGTGCTTGTGTTTTGACAAATTTTATTATTAAATTTAACAGATGTTAATGCAGTCTTTATGTCGATAACTATAAGCGATAACATTTTTATTGTTATTACTACTGTTATTATTACAATGGCTATTGCTGTAGTATTATTAATTTTATTTACTATTTAGCTCATATGTTTTTTTCACGTTTAATATTTGTAGGTCTTCACGTTTTTTTCTGTTACACAACTGTTTATGACTGATCCTAGCTTTGTATTAATTTTATTTTATTAAGTGAAATAAATGATTGATTGCATAAATTGCATATATAATTTATTTGAATGTTGATTTGAATGTTGACATCTTAAACGAGAGTATATATGTTAAAAACATAAAAATCATCAATTAATACTAGTTCTCTCAATACTATTGTTAATTTATTTGAAATTGTTGCTGGATTATAATTACCAGCATCATCAGCTATAATATTGCAATTAAAAGTTACAGTTAAAACCGTTGACGTCAGCGTTAGAACGGCTTCTTTGACGCAAAAATGCAAAAAATGGAGCCCAAAATTTAGTTTAAACGTTTAGTCCGTTATTTAACTTTATTCCACCATAAATTGGAGAGCATTGATGGTTCTGAATCCCTAATGCTTCACGAACTTTCTTATTAAATTTATTATATTCTTCTTTAAGTGTTTTAACTATATCCCAATTATTTTCTTCTTTACAAACTTTTTTATGAAAAGCTATCGCCGACTGATAGTACTTATCTTCCATCAAACATTTTTGGTGTTGTTGATATTTTGTTCTAATTTGTTAGAACAAAATATCAACACATTCAATTCAGGTTTACTGATGTCTGGTAGCCTCGATTTTTTTTTTGATGTTAGTAGAGTCCTTAAATTATGATTAGATTTAAAAACAGTGCGGTAACCAGCTTTCCGAAATACTTTTCTAAATTTTGGAGATAAAAATTAAAGTTCAAGGTAAAGAAATTGTAGGAAGTGCATTTGGATTTGTTGATATTTAAATTTTGTTTGAATTAGTGATTTCATTTATGTTGTTGTGGATTACGTCTTCCAAGATAAGTAGCAAAAATTAGCGGTTGTATCTTAATATAAACATTAATATATTTGTAATGATGCGGTCTTCTTAAAGATACTGGAAAATTACGCCAACCTAATTTTAAAGTTAATAATATAATATTTTGTGGTTTTGAATTTTATATAAAAAATGGATGATATTTGTAAATAATAGATTTGCAGTCATATGTAAATAAAACAACTATAAACAAACAAGTGGATTCATTAGTGTCACTGGGAAACGTTTACTAATTCCCCACACTAAAAGGTGGCGACCCTACCAGGACCAAAGGAACCTACAAATAATCGAAATGGATCAAGAGCAAAATTATCAGAGGGAGATCAACATGTTTAATATAAACATTAAATGCATAGAACGCAACACCGCAAGCAGCGACAAATCGAGCATAATCTTGGCTTTAGACAAAATAACAAATTTGTTGGCAAGATTTGAAATGGCAAAAGATGAGCTGACCAGAAAATTGTTAGATGACGGCGAAAGCATTGATACGGTCGAAGAATGGTTATCGAAACCAATAGCGGAAGTTGAAGCAGCGAATGCAATTAAAAACAAAATGGTAAATAAGTTGGATCTAATAAATAAAAACGAATGCGTCAAGAAATTCGAGTATGAAAAACAATTTATGGAACACCAGTTAACAATCAAAAAAGAAGCGGAACAAGCTTCATTGCGGAAACTTCAAAACGAAGAAGAATGGTATCTAAGGAAGCTAAAAACAAAAGAAACATTGCGTAAATCTGTTGGAAACAATAACGAAACTGTTCAGCAATTCGTCAAGCTTTAAAAGTATAATATTACAAAATTTGAAGGCAATTATAAAGACTGGTTGCAATTTTGGAATCAATTCACGGTGGAAGTCGATAACTCTAACATATCAAACATTAGCAAATTCAATTACTTAATGGAACTCGTCGAAGGAAAATCCAGAGAGGACATACTTGGTTTACCACACTCATTCGAAGGATACGAAGAAGCCAAGCGTATATTACAAGACACTTATGGAAAAGATATTTATATTCACAAAGCATCGATTAAAGATCTTGAAGGAATGATGGCTATACACAATACGCACAAAATTAAAGAAGTTCACGGTTTTTATAATAAACTTGCAAGAACAGTGCGAACATTAAAAACGATGCACAAACTACAAACTACTCAATCATTTGTGTATTTATTAATGGATAAACTTGGAACGGTTTGTGAAATACTCACACAAAACGGTGATGGATGGGAAGAATGGGGACTGGAGCAGCTCGTCGAAAAGTTACAAAAATACATAGAAAGAAATCCATTGAACTCCGATTTCAACACTGAACAAATAAAATACAATAAAAAGAACCCAAACGTACAGTCAAGGTCGTATGAAAACCGAATCAGTGCATTCAAGCAACATAATAGTGGTAATTATGATAAATCAATGATGAGAAGTGTTGGTAAAAATAAATCTATCTACTGTGGGTTGCGAAATCACAAAAGCGAAAGTTGTATAAAAGTGTTAAACGTTGCTAGACGCAAGGAGATTTTAAAAAACAAAAGATTATGTTACAACTTCATTGGTTATGGACATTCCGCGGCAAATTGTCAATCAAGAGGATGCAGAAAGTGTAACAAAAAACACCACACGTCAATTTGTCAAAATATAAATGCAACAATGGACGATAAAAAAGAAACCATGGGAACGGTGTTTAATGCGAGTACAATTGTTCAGCCGACAGTAATGGCAAAGGTAAATGGTGAAAAAGCAAGGATTATGTTGGATACGGGTGCTGGAAGTTCTTATATATGTACAAACTTGATAACAAAACTGAAGTTGAAACCTACACGAAGGGAACATAAAACCATCGAACAACTATATGGAACGGTAAACAAACGTGTGGAAATATATAATGTTACGCTCGAGTCAATAACAATTCCGGAATTTCACATCAAGATTGAATGCATCAACGCAGAAAAGGAAATACTGACCTTTTTACCCACTCCGATAATTAAGGAGGTAAAAAAGCAATTTGCTAGACTTAGGAGACTGAAATTTAGTAATGATGGAGAAGACGATGAAATACAACCTATTCACATAATACTTGGTGCTGCTGATTATCAACGAATAATAACTACCGAGCCGATGGTTCTCGGAAAAAATCCGGATAAAGATCCCGGAGCTTAATTGACTATGTTTGGATGAACTCTCTCTGGGAAACAAATAGAATTAAGCTCTGGTATTGAAATGGTTTTTTATTAAACACTGGTCGTGATGAGTTCGAGCAAATGTGTAGTCTTGAAGTACTTCGATTGTCAGACACAAACAATGAATCAATGTTTCACCAAGACTTTAGCGAAAAGCTGCACCAAACAAACGAAGGTTATTATGAAACTAGAATGCCTAGGAAAGAAGATGTTGTCAAACTGCCGAACAACAGAGATCTGGCAATTAAAAGATTAAAAAGTACAACAAATCAATTGGAAAAACTTAACAAACTAGAGCAGTAAAAGGAAATAATGATGGAACAGATCAGTGAGGGAATACTGGAAAAAGTGACAGAAAAACCTACGGGAGAAATTGTTCATTACATTCCTCATCAAGCTGTAATCAAAGAAAATGCCGAGTCAACAAAAATGCGAGTTATTTATGATTGTTCAGCAAAAAAAGATGCTCAATCACCTTCATTAAATGATTATCTAGTAGTGGGACCTTCGCTGCAACCTCTAATATTTGACATTATAATACGAAATAGGATGAACAAACTCTGCGTTTTAGCTGAAATTAAGAAAGCATTTCTACAAACCCAAATTCAAGATATGGATAGAAACGCACAGCAATTAATTTGGTATGAAGACTTAAAGAAAATGAAATTAATGAAGTTACGATTTACAAGAGTAATTTTTGGTTCCAGTTCAAGTCCTTACATTCTCGGCGCTACGATTAAAAAACATATATCAAAATCCAAGGATATTTATCCAAAGACAGTAGTTGCTTTGGAAGAAGATACTTTTGTCAATGATCTGCAAGCGTGTGGAGAAATGGAAAAAGAACTTATCAGGTTTAAATATGAATCAACACAAATCTTGAACGAAGCTGGTTTTCAGTTGCACAAATGGCATACCTACGTGAGAGAATTAGAAAATAATGTTGAAGACAAATCAACTAAAATACTTGGACATCCTTGGAACAAGGAAACAGATCAATTGTCAATTGAATTAACTACTTGCATCAATAACGGAAATAAAGAAAATTTAACAAAAAGAAAAATTCTATCTGCAATCAACAGTGTTTTTGATGTATTAGGATTTAGAGCACTTGTGTTAATCACTGGAAAAATACTGTATAGTCGACTATGCTTATCAAAAATTGGATGGGATTATTAACTACCGAAGGAACTATTGGAAGAATGGCAAACTTGGATTAAGACGATAAGCAACAAAAGAACTATATTGATTCCTCAATATAGTTCTTTTGTTGCTTATCGGTGTGTTGTGTCCGGAAGAATTATTGAACTAGAGCTCCACGGGTTCTCAGATGCAAGTAAATTAGCGGTATGTGCATGCATCTATGTTGTAACGAGCCACCAAAATTCGAAAAACGAGCAATTTACTTGTTGCAAAAGCACGGATTACACCAAAGGATTTAAGTATTCCAAGACTCGAGCTAGTAGCTGCACATACCTTAAGCAAGTTGATGAACCATGTCAGAAAAACATTAGTCAATTATAACATTAGTAAAGTTTTTAATTGGGTTGACAGCACTGCTGTACTTTATTGGCTGAAGGAAAGAGGCAATTTGTCACAATTTTTAAGAAACCGAGTTCAGCAAATCTCATTAAATGGAGAAGTAAAATGGCTTTATGTCCCAACAAAAGAAAATATGACACATTATGTGAAAGTATTGCTCTAAAGAAGCAATACTTTCACATAATGTGCCATATGAGTAACAGAAGAAATAAAGGAAAATCGCACTTTTGAAGAATTGTGGAATAAATATAATTATTGGAAGATTTTAAAGATATCGTCGTTTATAAAAAGGTTCATTTACAATTGTCGCAATAAAGAAAAAATTGTCGGACCAATAAAAACGGAAGAGATGATAGAAGCCGAAACGGTCAATATTAGACATCTACAAGGATCTGTTGTGCTAAAAGCCGATGTGGAACTTAAACAGGATGAAAAGAATCTTTGGAGGTGTCATGGAAAAGTTACTGGGTATAGCCCAATATTTATACCAAAAGGGTTCTAACTAACTCTACGAATTATTGAGCACCATCACACCAAAACCTTACACAGAGGAGTTGGAGATACCATGGGTAGCGTAAGATAAAGATTCTGGATACCGAGTTTGAGAGTGGCCGTTAAAAAAGTTATTCATAGTTGCAATTTGTGTAAAAGGTACAGAGTAAAGCCTCTGTTACCACCAACAAAAGCAATGTTACCGCACTTTAGAACTGAAAATGTTGAACCATTTGCAGTTAGTGGTGTTGATTTTGCCGGACCGTTAAAGTATAAAGTACCAAAAAATTCGATTAAAAAATGCTACGTTGCACTTTTTACATGCGCAAGCACTAGAGCCGTCTATCTTAAACTTAGTCATGACCTATCAGCAGTAGAATTTCAGAGGGTTTTAAAAGAATATGTTGCGAGGAAAGGACCACTTCAGATGATAATCAGTGACAATGCGAAAACATTTGTGGCAACAGGGAAGTGGTTACTTACACTTAAAAACGACGAGAATATTGCCAACTATCTTGCTATAAAAGCTATAAAATGGAGGTTTAATCTATCAAGAGCCCCTTAATGGGGAGGTTTGTTTGAAAGATTGATTGGAATAATGAAGAAAAACTTATCTAAAACTATCGGTAAAGGTATGCTTACTTTCAATGAATTAGAGGAAGTATTGTTGGATGTTGAGTGCTCAATGAACAATAGACCACTTTGTTACCAAGGTGACCAGTTCGACAATCAAGTACTGACACCAAACGTATTAAAAAGAAGAAAACCTGCAATATTGCTTGAATAAGATATTGCTTTAATTGCAAAAGAGGAATATGCAATACGGAGAGCCCAGTTTATAAAAAACTGTAAAACCCATCTGAGAAAAAGATGGATGAACGAATATGTACATGCAATTGAAGAACGACAGCAAGTAAGGAATAAGGGAAGTAACATAAAACTGCCAGTTGTTGGAAGCGTGGTACTTATTAAAGAGGATGTAAAAAACAAAGCACTTCTAAATATTGGACGAGTTGAAAGCGAAATCAAAGGAAAATATGGAGTTATGCGTGGCTTAAAAATACGATTGGGAAACGGTTATGTTATTTAACGACCAATTCAACTGGTGTGTGACCTGGAAATCGATTTTAAGGCAGAGAGTATGATTGAATCTAAAAAGAACGTGGAAACTGGTAAAAAAGTGGAAACCCTAAAAAGAGTACCGAGACGGGCGAAACTAGATGCAAGACAAAAAATCAGTTGCATCATGAAAGACAAGATGGCTGATTAAAGCCGAAGTCTCAGCTTTAATCGGGGGAGTGTGTTGTGGACTACGTCTTCCAAGATAAGTAGCAAAAATTAGCGGTTGTATTTTAATATAAACATTAATATATTTGTAATGATGCCGTCTTCGTAAAAATACTGGAAAATTACGCCAAGGTAATTTTAAAGTTGATAATAAAATATTTTGTGGTTTTGAATTTTATATAAAAAATGGATGATATTTGTAAATAATAGATTTGCAGTCATATGTAAATAAAACAACTATAAACAAACAAGTGAATTCATTAGTGTCACTGGGAAACGTTTACTAATTCCCCACAATGTTAGTAGATCGTTTTATTTTAACTTGGTTAGCAATGATTTGAAGGTGACTTTTGTTATA